CTAATGGGCCACTAACTACTCTTCCCTCCGGCCAAGGCCCTTCCTTCCCTAAACTGCTGCATCTAAGTTTGCCTGGCTTAGGTAAACAGCCTCCCCAGGAACCTCCACATACCAGGAAGGTATAGAATTCAGCAGTGCCATCCTGATCTTCCACTCAGTATTTCAGGTCAACAGAGATTGCCACACGTGTATATTGGTTGGCTCAAGGAGTGAAACAGGGCAAAGTGAATTCTCATTCTGTGATGAGGAAAGCACTGGATAATCTTGAATCTGATACTCTGGGAACAAAATCGTGTGACTCTAAAGGACTCCCAGGCTGGGGCTGCAGCAGCTCGGCGGTAGAGCACTTGCCTAGCATGCATGAGGCCCTGGGTTTCATCCCCAGCACCCCCAAGTTCCAGGACTGGAGCTCTCTTCATGGCCCTCAGAAACAACCAGTAGTGGGGCATGGTGGTGCACACCCTATAATTTCAACACTTGGGAGGCTGAGACAGGAGGATTGCCACAAGTTCAAGGCCAGCCTAGGATACATAGTGTGTCCAAGGCCAGCCTGAACTACATAGCAAGATCCTGTCGAAATTAAAAAAAAAAAAGAAAAAAAGCAACAACCAGTGTATGGGGTTAAAGAGAAGCAAGAATCAGCTGGTCCCAATCTCTTCTCTAGTCTAATTCCCTAGTAGCCAATTTTCTAGGTTGTTTCATTGACTTTTATTATTTATTTGTTTGCCCAGATGGGATCTTGCTATGTTGCCCAGGCTGGCCTGGAAGGTATGGGCTCAAGCAACTCTCCTGCCTCAGCCTCCTGAGAGGCTGGAACTACACAACACATCCATGCACCCAGCATCATCACCTTTTTGAATGCTGTTCCTTCCCTTGCAAAATGACCCAAAATCACTTCACTGTCTTCTTGTGAGGCTGAAACTAGACACTGTGCACCAAGTCTACATCAGAAAATTCTGCACAGCATGTTCTAGAATGTTCGCTGCATTAAACACCAGCCCCTCTGAGAGCCCACAAGCCTCTGCCGGACAGACAACGGTTTCCGGGCAACACAGCTTGCTTTCTTCCTCTAACCGGCTGCCTGAGTTCTAACCTACATTTCACATTTGTTTCATGACAAAGATTGTGTTTGGTCACATGAAAATGCCTGAAATAGCCAATGCTATAATTAGCACCCGAAGTCACTACTGTTGTCATCATCTTTTTCCTTTCTTTCATAAACCCTTCCCTTCTTTTGTCCCAAAACAGACTTCCTGCTCTGCTTGCAGGCCTTTTACAAAGAAAATCTTCTTGGCTGGCTGCCCTGGGTTTCTTTGCCCGTTTCCATTTAAAGTCATTTTTTCTCTGCCCCAGCCTCCTCAGAAACAAAGGCAGACGGCAAAAGTGGCTGGTTTATTTTGAAAGAAAACTTGACTCCAGGCTGTGAGGTGCTAGCTGGAGGCCCTGTGGAGTCACATGGCCTGGCTCACCCATCAGCGGCAGATAAGCGCTCCCAGCCGGTTGCAGGGCAGGCCCGCATCTCAGACCAGCTTCTCCAGGGTCACAGAAAGTCGCTTCCAATGTGTAATGTCCTTTACGACATCTGTTCCCACGGCAGACAACCCATTTCTAACCAAAAGGCCCCCAAGTTCTCTTTCAGGCCCTACCAGTTCTGCAAAAGTGCAGAACTGCTTTTTCTATCAGCAGCCAATACCAATAATTCAACAGGAAGTGGTATAGGGTATAGGACGCAGGATGTCTTCCTGATGCCCAGTTATTTACAAAAGGGAAGACTTTTCTAACACTTAAAATCCTCCCCATAGGACTAACCTGTGCTCCCTTATAGGTAATAAACTAATAAAACGAATCACTTCTAATCTCTGTCAAAGCTGTATAACAATGCATCTTGTTCAAAAGCAGGAAGAGTTGTAAAAAGAGTCCATATTAAACCCATGCCTTCAAAAGAATTTTTGAAAAAAAATTGCTTCCTATCACAGAACTCAAATCAGTCACAGAGTCGAGGATTTTGGAGCCAAATGGACTCCAAGGGGCCAGGTGCTCCCCAGTTAATAAAAAAGTTTCTTCCAGCCCTGGAATGAGGAGTCATCATTTTCTCCTTATTTGCCCTTAGATTCACTGCCAGAAAAACGGACTAGGATCAATATCAGATGCACCACCAGAGTACTGTGACACTTGCTGAAACACAGAGAACACTTCTGCAGCCAGATGTCCTTCATGTGCCTGGCAGCACAAGCCAAGCAAGCAGGTTCGAGACCAGGGGTTCACCTGGGCATAGCAGCTAGAGCCCAAGGGCCCAGATGCCTAGGGTTTAGGCATGCCATTTTCTCAAATAATTTATTCCCTGGATACATATGAAAAATTTTCCAGCTCACAATACTATTTGGGGTAAAATTGAATTAAAAAAAAAATTGAGCCAGAAGTGGTGGCACACACCGATAATCCCAGCACTCGAGAGACCGAGGCAGGAGGATCACTGCAAGTTCGAGGCCATCCTGGGCTCCATAGCGAGTAAGGACAGCCTGAACACCTAGTGAGACCAGTCTCAAAAAGCAAATATAGCCCTTGCCTGGCAAGTGCAAGGTACTGAGTTCAATCCCCCAGGGGCGGGGGGGAAAGCAAACAAAAAAATTTAAACTTGCCTCTTCAGAAACTGGGGGAAAAAAATCTGTCTCTAAATTTCTTGGACTTACAGTGATTCTGCCTTGCACACAATGTCACCCTTGGTCTTCTTAGGCTGATCCTAAGTAGGTTAAATACCTTGGGTGCTGATCCAAGATTATCTTGGACATGCCATCTCCTGTACACCCACCTGATCAACAAACTGGCTCAATTCACTGGCATTTTACCAGATTTTGTTTATATTTGGCTGTGAGATACTCTTAATTGTTATACGTACAGATCGATCAAACTAACTTTGATAAGAAATCTTTACTAGGTAAAGTACTGAGCAGTCTGAATCCAAGTTGTAGAGCAGGCTGGGCCACAAAAAAAAAAAGACACTTGACAAAGGCTAGCTACAGCTATAAGGTAAAACCGAAAACCAAACCGTGAGAGGAAGAAAAAGCCACTGCTCTGAGCTTATCGAGGAAGGGCAGCACTCTTCTTTCAGGCAGGCCCAGAGATGGCCATTTCTCTGCCGCCTCTCCTCCCACATTGGCCAGGAGCCCACTGCGGGACAAGAGCAGCCATCTCCCCTCTTAGGGGACCACATTTTCGTTCTTAGAAAAGTATTTCCCCCCCAGATTCCTTTATCCAGGGAAGCCTGTGTTCCGGATAAGCAGTGGGGAGGAGCCTACGCCACAGAACTGTCAGTCCTCACCACCCACATCCACCCAGATCTCCCCGAGCCCGGTTCCCATTTCCCGTACTCCCACGTGTTTCTGGAAGCAGAACAGATCCCACGGGTGGCATGGAAACCGGAGGGGGTGCTGGGGGCGCTGCCGGAGGAGGACGGAGGAACTTGTCAAGGAAGAGAAAGGATGGAGTTTGGCTTCGAGGTCAGGCAGTATCACAGGCACACCCTTGTACCGTGGCCTTCCACCCTAGGGAAGGAAAGCCCGAGCAGGAAGGGGGTTTCTGCCCGTCAGAAGTAGCAGAGGGTGGGAGCCCAAGGTGAAGCTCTCTCGCAGGGCAGCTCCACTGCCCCCAGGCCCAGAGTTGACTGACCATCTGTCAGTAGCCGCACTCTCTTTTAACACCAAGAGTCCCCACCCAACAAGACGGGGCTGGGCCCCAGACCTGCCAAGCTCCGAGGGGCTCCCGAGAAGCCGGGGCATCCGGCCCGGTCACCCGGACCTCGGGGACTCGCTCCCGGCCCACGCGC